ATTACGCGAACAACGAAGATTACACACATTAAACACTCTCACCTAGAGAGACCCAACCACTTTAATTTCCGCATTAATTACTCCTTAATCAAGTACTAACTTGACTGTCGGAGGCGGATCTCCAACCATCCGGAGCATCTGTTTGTTTTGCAGGTACAGGCGTCCGGTTCCAGTCTCGGAATTGTAACTCTCCCGCAGGACATCAGAAAACCCCGAAACACCAAGGTTAATATATATTCTCTAATTTATTCAAAATTATCCACCAAAACAAATTAAATTAACCATTAAAACATAATAAAATCCAACTAATTGAGTAACAAGGTTACTAATCTCTAATATTTTCACAATTTCCCAATAAAACAACCTAAAATTGAGAAAAATTGGAGTAAAATTATATTTAAATCTAAATTTTAATTTGCTAACAATGGTTCAACATGCAAAAGAAATTAATATAAGTACATAATTGGAAAATAATTGTGAAAAAAACAAAAAAAAATTATAAGGAAAACCTTGAATTGAAGGAGAGATGGAGGGAAGCAGAATGGCTCAGCGCGGTGGTGGAGGAGCCTCAGGGCAGTGGCACGGCGTTTCTTAAGGCTGTGGCGCGGTAAACCTCAAGGCGGTGGCGCGACATCAACATCTTCACAGAGCCTCGAATTAAGAGGGAAACTAAGAGAGGTTGACGGGGTTGAGGGGAGAAAGAGAAGGATAGGGGAAAAAGAGAAGGGTAGTGAGGGTTTTTGAACCTCCACCGTTGAAGGTGGCGGCTGTGGTGGAGGGATACGGAGAGAAGGCAGTGAGGGTTTTTGTTGGGTCGTGTATCGAATGCAACAGTGGGTGAAGCTGATCGAAAATGAAAAAGGAAAGAGAAGGAAGAAAGGAGGGTGAAGAAAGGAGGGGGGAAGGAAGGTGAGGAGAAGGCGGGGTTTTTTTTTTTTAAATGGCACCGGTTCACATTAGAATCGGTTCAAACCGGTGGCCTTTATTTTTTTGCCACCGGTTTGAAGTGAACCGGTGCCAATTAGCTGCCCCGGTTTGCTCTTGGATTTTTTACCCTTTTTTGCCATCGGTTTGGACTGAACCGGTGGCAATATGGGGGTGCCTTTTTCATTTTTTCTACTAATTAGTATTTGGCTCATATCTTTTTCATTTTAAATTGGAATTGGGCTTATAATATATGTTTGGAAAGCTTATTTCAAGGCCTATCCAACAAAACAATAATTAGGTCAAAATTATTAGGCCATAAAATCAGTTTCTCTAGGTTTTGTGATGTGGACACGAAAAGAGCCATAAAGTTATGGTTTAGGGAAATGAGATAGGAAATGGATTGGTTTATGAAATGTATTGAATGGAAACATGGATTTAAGCACTTCAAAGATTAAATACTCAACCCGACCAATAATGGCGGTGAAAGGTTATCATCATCGGGTTTGGTTTTGGGTGTCTATAGCCTTGTTTAAAATTTTAAATAGTAATATCTAAGACATTACCGCCACTGTGAAACGGTTAAAATAACTATAAGAGACACATAACGAAAGACTAATTTCAAAACCATTCAAAACAAGTCAACTTGAAAAGTCAATCAATGAAAGTAAAGTCAAACGAAGTAAAATATAATCAATCTACTTGTTTCCACTACTCTTCATTACAAATAGGTCACCATAGGGCCAAGATAAAGACAAGGCCAACAAACACACAAAACACACAATCAGTGATGAGTCTACTTAATATATATATTTAATTACCCGTCACATGGTCATATTCGTGCTTATTTGAGCTCTTTGGAGCTATTTTTATTACTAATATACGTTTTCTAGTGTTTTGTAGAGTTTATATTATTTTGTAGGAATTTGCAGAATTATGATAATATAATTCCCGAAAATATTGAGCCACTACGAAGATATTAGAGTTAAAGTGTATTTTATGACCGGGTATTTAAAGCCCAAGACCGAGTTAAAGAAATTTAGTTTGGTGATTAAGGGCTCGATACATGAGATGATCTAAGATTTTACAAGTAATTATTACGGATCAACTAAGGAAGGAAATTGGGACCAAGCTTTAGAAGCCCAATCAAGTTCGCGCTCAAGAGCAAGTCCGCGCTCAAGAGCAAGTCCGCGAGCTTACTCTAAACAATAGGGCCTTATTAGATAAATAAATTAGCAGCTGGACGCGCTCTTTTCCTTGGGCCTTACTTCAGCTACTAGGCTAATGTCGGTTTCCGACTTTTAGTGATTTTGGGTTTTTATCCTTAATTCCTTATAAGAGCACTCCCAGCAGTGAGGAGAAAAGCCCTCACGAGTAAAAATAAGGGTGTAAAAAAAATACCCGAGCATTACGTTAGTGAGGGAAAAAACCCTCACCGTTGAGAGCTATGGAAAACGCACAAGAGTTGAGGGGAAATACTCGTGAACAGTAACAAGTGGGCCCCACTCGTACACGCGTCTTTCCCTTTTTTTTTCCCTTCTGGCTTGCAAAACGACGTCGTTTTGCCTTAAAGAAGGGCGAAACGACGCCGTTTTGAGGGGAAAAAAGGGAAAAAAAAGAGGGGGCAGTTGGCCTGACGCGCGTCAGACCCAGCCAATGGGGATGCGACACGCGTCAGGCTTTATCCTTCCAACCAATCAGATTTTTTTGCTTTTATTACAACGGTTATATTTTTGTAAGGTAAATATAACCGTTGTAATTATAAAAAAAAAAAACAAAATTCACCAACGGATATATATTTTTTTTCTCTATAAATAGACATGCATTTTGATATATTTTGATATACTTTCAAAAAACCTATAAATACTACAAATTTCCTTCTTTTCCCAATTTCTTTGAGTTATTTTCATCATTTTTATTATTATTATTATTCGTAAAAAAAAAAACCCCAGTTATTATTTAGTATTATTATTATTATTATTATTATTATTATTATTATTATTATTATTATTATTATTATTTTTATTATTATTATTATTTTTATTATTATTATAATTATTATTATTATTACTAATAGTAGTAGTAGCGTTAATTTAAAAAAAGTAGTAGTTTTATTGGTATTCTTATTATTATTATTATTATTATTATTATTATTATTATTATTATTATTAATTTCTTTATTATTATTTCTGTTAAATTTATTAATCCTTGAAAAAAATCGTATTATTATATTGTCAAAAAAAAGTAGTAGTATTATTATTGTTGTTGTTGTTATTATTATTATTATTATTATTATTATTATTATTATTATTATTGTTATTATTATTATTATTATTATCATTATTATTATTATTATCATTATTATTATTATTATTATTATTATTATTATTATTATTATTTTGCTAATGGATCCTAACAAACAAGATTTTTCTAATTATTTTTCTGATTTGGGTGATGATTTTGTCACTAACCCTCGATTTCAAACCTTCCTTCAACGAATAGCTACTCAATATCCACCGCAACAAACACCTCCTCAATTTGCACCACAACAAACACCTCCTCAATTTCCACCACCACATTCACCTCCTGTTTATCAAGGGAGCAATTCTCAATATGAAGATGAAATGGAAGAAAGTGTTCCAGATACTCCACAATACCCTCCACCTCCTCCAAGAGTGTCTGTCAATCAAAACCAACCACTTACAAAAGGGAGTCGAATGTGGTCTGTTGCGGAGGATGAAACTCTTATTGGTTTGTATCTGCAATTCAGTGTAGATGCAATTGTTGGTACAAACCAAAAAGCATCTGTGCTTTGGAGAAAAATTTCAGCGGCATATGATGAAGCGCAGGCTGAGAAACCTCACATTCTACCACCAAGACCTTTGAGGAGTTTGGAAAGTCGTTGGAGAAGGATGGCAGCTGATTTAATACAATGGAGTAGCTGCTATGACGAAGCAGGAAGGGTTACAGGAAGTGGCTACAACGAAGCAAATCGAATTAATAACGCCAGTAAGTTATTCTATGCTTTCTCCAAGCCTACTCAACATAATTTTAATTGTCACCATGGTTGGGAAATGGTTAAAAATGACCCAAAGTGGAGGACAAAACTTAGGTGGGCGTTGTCAAGAGAGGAAAGATTAGCTGTAGGTGATGCCGTCGAAGATGATAGTAGTGGCAGTGATAAGCGATGTAGAACCGTAGAGGAAGGTGATACACCATCCACGGGTTTCTGTTCTGGAGGTCTTCCTCGACCCGATGGTGTTAAAAAGGCAAAGGCCAAGCGTAATAAGGGAAAAGAAGTGGCTTCTGATTCTTCAACCATTGGTGAGCAAATGAAGCAGAATAATGCCTGTAGGGAAACAGAGGCACAAATACGGTTGAAGAAGTTGGATTTTGACATGGAAAGGGAGAGGAGGAAACAAAAACAAGTCGAAATTCAACAAAAACAAGTTGACATACAAGAGAGAAGGCTGAACTATGAAATGCTGCAAGATCTACTTTCAAAGGGTACTGATCTAACTCCCGATGAAGAGGCCTACAAGGAGGAATTACGTGCAATGCTATATGGTAGAAGGCACGTGTGACTTGGAGATTTGGCTTATGTTTTATTTAGTTAATGTTAACTTTATGTTTTATTCAGTTAATTTAATGTACTAGTGTTTATTTAGTTTATGTTAAATTTATGTTTATGTAATGTTAAATTTATTATTAATATTCAGTTAATTCACATGTTTTACAAGTTGTTTGAAATTGATAAAGCTGATATCTGATAAAGGTACAATCTGACACGCGTCACATGTCACCTCTGCTCAAACATCAATAACACTGCACAATCACATGCTAAAGTAATGCACTGAATTGTCACCTCTGCTCAAACATCAATAACACTGCACAATCACATGCTAAAATAATGCATTGAATTGTCACCTCGAGTCACATGCAATTTCAATTCCACTTTAACTCACATGCAAACTTACCACTACCATCCAATAATGACTTTCACATTTTCTATATATACCTGTGTTATTATAAACGGAAACAATCCCAAACACACCAACTACCTAACCAAAATAAAAATGTCTTTCATTTCTTCCACCTCAAGCTCCTCTTCTGATGATTTCTCCAAAAAACATGAATTTGATTGCTTAGTTGATGAGTATGTAGCAAATCACCTACCTCATAGATTATTTCCTCCAGACCAACCACAAGAACCTCCACTAAATAATGAAACTGAACTATCAACGGAGCCCAAAAGGGATAGGGAAAGAGAAAAAGGGCATGTGCAACTATACAACGATTATTTCGCGAATAATCCAGTGTATAACGACAACCAATTCCGACGTAGATTCCGTATGCAACGGTCATTGTTCTGCCGCATTATGAGCAAAGTGGTTGAGGGGGATCAATTCTTCCAGCAACGTCGAAATGCAGCTGGGAAGCTTGGTTTATCACCGTTGCAGAAATGCACCGCTGCAATAAGAATGTTAGCGTATGGCGTAGCCGCAGACGCTGTGGATGAATATTTACGTCTCGGCCAAACAACCTCTAGGCAGGCATTGCAACATTTCTGTCAAGGGGTTATTTCACAATTTGAAAGTGAATATCTACGAAAACCTACAAATGAAGATTTAAGGAGAATCCTTCATCAAAATGATCTGCGTGGTTTTCCAGGGATGATTGGTAGTATAGACTGCATGCATTGGGAGTGGAAGAATTGTCCTACTACTTGGAAGGCACAATATGCTGGTCGTAGCAAGAGTGCAACTCTCATTCTTGAAGCTGTTGCTGATCAGGATCTATGGATTTGGCATGCGTTCTTTGGAATGCCTGGGTCATGTAATGATTTGAATGTCCTTTACCGTTCACCGGTATTTGATGATGTTTTACAAGGTCATGCACCACCCATAAATTTACGGTTAATGGACATCAATATGAGTTGGGCTACTACTTGGCCGATGGGATTTACCCGAGATGGCCAACTTTTATACAGGGTATAACACATCCTCATGTTAGAAAAGACAAGTTGTTTGCTGATCAACAAGCAGCAGTTCGAAAAGACGTCGAACGGGCTTTCGGAGTTTTACAAGCTAGGTTCGCTATACTACGACAACCAGCACTTGCATACGACGAAGATATTCTCTGTGATATTATGAAAGCCTGTATAATAATGCACAACATGATCGTTGAGGATGAACGACACAACTACGCACGTGCAGATGTTTTGAGACGATACTACGAAGAAGATCGACCACAACGTACGGTGAGGCGGGCAGACCCGAGCACAAGTGCCACGGTGTTTAACAACGAGCCATTTGAATTCAACGTCGGGCGACCACCCAACATTGATTTCAACACGTATTTGGAGAGAAGGATTTCCCTTCGTGATAGAGAAATTCATTCATCTCTGAAACAAGATTTAGTGGAGCACATATGGCAGAACTTTCGTCATAATGCGGTTGAATAAATAATTTTTTAGTTTGTTATTTGTAACCGTATCGTTATTTATGTTTTAATACTCGTGTTTGTATTTTATTTTAGTAGAACCACTTTTATCTAGTTCGTACTTGTACCGTTATTTAACATCCCATGTGTTTGTATTACCGTTATTGAAGTTCCCATGTGACTATTTAATGTGTTCATTACAAAAATGTGCTACTAATTCAAATGTTAAATTATAAATAAAACGTAATTGAAAAATAAAAAAAAATTATTAATTATAATTAAAACGTAATTGACAAATAAATAACAATCTTATTAAGTTATAATTGAAACGTAATTGAAAAATAAATATAAAAATTATAAATTTTTATTATATTATTTTTAAACGTAATTGAAAAGTAAATATAAAACTTATAAATTGTTATTAAATTATACATTTTTATTAAATTATTTTTAAATGTAATTAAAAAATAAATTATTTTCACATATTTTAATTGTATTGGAAAATTAAATATGTAGTATAAACATTATTTCAAAATAAAGATAAAATAAAAAGATGATGTGTATTATGGTGGGGTATAGTAAATAGTGGAGGAAAAAGTGATGAGAGGTTTTTTTTTCTCCTCATTGATGTAGTGAAAAAAACATTTGATGAGAGAAATTGTATGGGAGGAGTGAGAAAGTGGGTAGAGAGAGATTGAGAGGTTTTTTTTTTCCTCACTGCTGATAGTGATGGAATATTGCTGGGGTTAAAAAAGCTTTTCATTACTTAGTTTTGTTTCTTTTTGGCAGCTTTATTAGATTATTTACTTAGGATTATTGCTCCGTAGCTTTTACTCGCTTTTCGTCAATTTTGTAGTATTAGTTGACTTCTACTAGTTTGATTAATATTACTTATTGTTTTCTTTAACTACTTATTATTATAGTTTTCATAATTAGATTACTATTATTTCTTTAATTTTCTTTAATTCATATTTTTACTATGCTTTACTTAATTGCTTTGATCTTTATCATGCTATCCTTAATCTTTTTTATTAGTTTAGTTTTAATTATGCACGAGTAGTTTAATTCTAGGGTAGTGGGGATTCATGATTAATATGTAGGGATGATTTATTATTATTGATTGTCAATGCTTGATTGATTTCCTATGGATTGATTTAATGTTGTGCAATTAAATTTGCGCAGATTTGAGATTCGAAAGATGAGAATTGATATTTAGGCTTAGTTTCAGTAGGCAGGTTAATTTTTAAATGGTTAAATCAACATTCGAGAGATGCGATGTAATACTGGTAGATTAATTATGTGATTATAATACGTAGGGAAAGCCCTTTATAATATGGTTAATTTTTTTTTCATTGATAATTGATTGTTGTCTTTCATCCCGGAATATTATTTGTTGGTGAACCTATGCCCTAGGCTTTTATTTATTGATTTCTCCCTACTTTTATTCTTCCCTACTTTTACTCTCATTAGTTTAATATCCTTCACAACAATTTAGTTACTTAATAATTTAGATTATATTAATTAATTAGGAATAAGAACACTTGTTTCCCTGTGGATTCGACCCTACTTCCCTATCCACATAGTTAAAGGACTTAGGTAATACTTTTGATTAGGTGATAAGAGTTTAGCCTGTCAAAATTTTGCGTCATTGCCGGGGAAACGATTTTAGTTTTATTTCTAATTATTTTTGCAGTTTAAATTATTTTCTCCCTTCTCAGAGAACGCAAGTTCTTTGGGACAAATTTCTCGTATTTGTTTGTTTAGTTCTGTTTCTATGCCCAAGGATTCTAGATCAGGTTACATTCCATTCGATCCTGAAATTGAACGATCTTTTCATAGACAGAAGAATCTTTCCAGACAGATACGAGCTACTTCCAAAGGTATCACACCTCTGGAACCCCCATCTGATTCTAGCGGTTATGAAGTTTCTTCGGAACCCTGAATCAGGCATGACTCCACCGCCACCACCTCTACTCACAAGCTTAGCAATTATTCGCAACCGTCCCTGACGGATTTTCCACATCTTGCTCCTACACCTAATCTTGATGGAGTGGAATTTGAGATTAAACCCCAGTTTATTACTATGATCGAATGGAAGCAATTTATCATAGCTAAGGGTGAAGACCTGAATATTCATATTGTAGATTTTTGTTAATATTGCAACACCATTAGGCAAGCTGGGGTCACAAAGGACCAAATCAGGGAGATTTTTTTGCCTTTTCTTTATGTGGTAAAGATAAATTATGGTATAATGGATTTAATAGAACTGCACTTGGTATTACTGATTGAGAAACTCTTGCTTTGAATTTCTATAATAAATATTACCTTGCAGAGAGGACAGCTTTGCTAAGGAGTGCAATCCAAAATTTTGCCCAAGAAGCCGATGAAAGTTTTATGAAACTTGGGAAAGATTTAAGGATTTGCAGAAAGAATGTCCCCATCATAAACTAGCATAGTGGCAGATAATCTAAGCTTTCTACAATGGGCTTGGATATAATTCAAGAATGATTTTGGACTCTGCAGCTAACGAAAGATTTATGAATTTGGATGAGAATATAGTGGGCAATGTTGTCGAAGAGATGGCTATTAATAATTATCAATATGGGAATCCCAGAGGGTTTGCAAACAAGGGAAAACACCAAGTCGATTCTATATCCTTTTTGCAGACACAATTGACTTCTATTAGCCAGAAACTAGACAATATTAATAATTCTTGTTTCGGGGTTTTCTGATGTCCTGCGGGAGAGTTACAATTCTGAGACTGGAACCGGACGCCTGTACCTGCAAAATAACGGAGACTCCTGAGAGCTCCGCCTCCAACGGTCAAGTTAGTACCTGATTAAGGAGTAATTAATACGGAAATTAAAGTAATAAGATCTCTCTAGGTGAGAGTGTTTAATGTTGGTAATCTGCTTTGTTAGCGAGATTAGCCGGTTATTAGTGTTCCGTAATGTTTCTGTTCTTCTCTGTTCTTCAGATGAGATTAATTGCTTGATGTTTGCTTGATTTCTTGATCTCCTCTTTAATGAGGATTAATTAAGTATTTATAGTCTTGAGAAGCCTGCCACTCTCTAGGTTTAGGGTAAACCTAGGGCTGACCGGGCCTCTAGACAGGATTGGGCCTTGTTGGCCGGTTTTCCCATTTGGCCTGGGTGGACACGTGGCGTGCCTCGATTAGTCCGTAGAGGACGTATCTGTGATTGACACGTGGCACGCTCCTATTGGCCTACGTGAAGGACACGTGGCGTAACCTGGTTGGTCCACTTGTCAGACGGTGATTGGAGGATAAAAATCCCCTAATCATTTGCCCCTCACAAGTGGCACGTGACTGGTCACGTGTCGCCTGTGACAGGTGTCGCACGGTGACAGGCGACGGCCTGCTACAGGTGTCACCTTGCAAACGGCCGAGAGATTTTCCCGCCCAAATTTTGAATTTGGAAGCGACCCTTCGCCTTCTCACTTTGCCTATATAAGGAAGTGCTGACTTCGGTCATTTTCACATTTGAGAACTTTGCGAGAACATTCGGACCCCTGAACTTGCTCTGACATTTCGGACCTTTTCTGCCTACCGCCTGTTCTGACAAGCCGACTGCACCGGATTTCCAGAACTTCATCAACCGTCACTCGTTCAGGTAACTCAGTTCTCTTACTCTTAATTTTCTTTTTATTTTTTGAAATGGCACCACGGAAGCACACGACACGACCTAAGTTAGTGATCAGCCGGTCACCGGGACGGCTGAATCTAGGACTAGGAGTGCCGCCTGCCCTTTTCTGGACCCATCTTTGCCCTTTATACAAAGTCCGACTGTATCTGTGTCTATGCAGAACGTGATGGCCAGAACAAAAAAGACTGCTATGATATCAAACTTAGACGGCTCCTCCCAAAGGGTGCTCATTAGTGAAACATCTGACCAGGCGCCAGATGTAGAATTGAAACGAGACGGCTGCCAAGCCGACAATTCTGAGAGAGGGGCCAAGGTGGTCCCTTCCCATCTTACCGTTCATATGTCTAATTTTCCTCCTGCTCCTTCTAAGGGAGAGGAGGCGGGCCCCTCTGGGAGAGGGGAGGAGTCGTCCTCTTCGGACTCGTCAGAGGACGAGTCCGAGTCCAGCTCTTCTGGCCACAGTTCTCCAGGCTCAGAAGAAAGAAACAGCCGCCTACAAGAGGCGAGACTTTCTCATGCAGTTGAGAAGGGGGACAATTGGGCGGAGCCGTCCGCCTCTTACAGAGAGGAAAACGCCCATTACTACTGCATGGTACCCCGGGGCCGGATCGTAACCATGCAAGACAAAGTGGAGAGCTTTATTGCTAACCACAGAATGGGCCCGGAATTTTTACTGTTCGTGCCAGATCCAGAAGACACTGTCGTCTGGCCGGCTGGTACCAGCTATGATGACGGCTGCTTTGGCTGCTATGTGGCGGCCATCAAAGCTGGACTGCGCTTCCCATTACATCCGGTTGTTCAGCGGATTTTAGATGGGTATGATTTGGGGTTATGGCAGTTAGCCCCCAACTCTTGGGTAAACGTACTCGGCTATGTGGCCGGGTGCGAAATGTACGGGGTGGAGCCAAGCTTTGAGGCTTTCGCCCACATGAACTATCTCAGCCGGACCCCTAAGTCGGGAGGTACCGGCTGGTATCAATTAACAAGCCATAGGGGTTACCTCATGACGAGAGGTAAGGCGAACAAATGGAAGGATTGGCGGAACACCTTCCTTATCATTGAGGGTTCAAACACGGAGCTGAACCAACGTTTTAACAGGTGGAATAGGGATCCGCCTCTTCTCGCAGGCCGCCGCAGCATGCCGCCTGTTCCCCCAAAGGCTAAAAGAGAGATCCTAGACAAAGGACTCTTCAAAGTAGAGACTAGGGTGAACTCTACTTCAGGGGTACGAGAGCAAGTACCCCTAAACTGCGTCCCGAGCTTCAAGTGGCTCTATGACGAGTACTTTTTGGCCGCCTGTGGCCTCAGCAGTCGGTGCTCTAGAGGTAGTCGGCCTGTCAAATACTCTGTTTTTTCA